CCTAATCTAGCTCCTGGGAAGCTGTCACACTGGAAATATTCAACACACAAATTTATACTAGGATGCTAATGGCAGACAAGGCTTAGTGGCTACCCCTCTCATCGGGAATTTGTATTTAATAGAAATGTGCTTCAAATGAAAGAAATAGCCCAACAATGGTAGAATTTTAGACACATTCTGATGAGGAAGTTATTTCCCCTCATTTTTGATAGTTGTACTACATTCTACTAGATAGATACATATTTAGGTTATTTCTAAAGTTCCCCTACAGGTAATGCTGTGATGAACATCTCACCGTATAAAATATTTTCTACATTTAGGATTCCTAAAAGTGGAATTATTGGGCCAAGTATATGAACATGGTCTCCTCAGCACATTCAGTGGGGATGGGGAGTGTATATTCACCAAAAGGAGAAATAGATACTGGGAAGACACCACAATGCCCACTATACTTCCCAGACTCTACGGACACCACAGTGCCCACTTTACTTCCCAGACTCTACAGTACACTCATATTCCAGAGAGTACCATTCTCACCAAACACAACATGAAGGCCTACCCTTCCCACATCCCCATCTGGTGATTTTGTAACTTGACAGCCCTAATCCCTGGGTGAAGTCTGAAAATCTCCATTTCAGTAAGCTACCAAGGGAGTCTGCTGCACACAAAAGTTTGAAAACCATTTCACTACACTGTAAACTTCTTGGGGATACTTTTATAATTCTTGTGTCCTAAGCACCTAGTCCAATCTATTACCTACTGTATAGTAAGTGATCAATAATGTTGGTTAATCGGTGACTGAATTATTATTATGAACCAGAGAAAGGTGGTCAGGAAGGCCTTCTAAAATTAAAACTTTCAGTGGCACAATATCTACAATGGGTGATAGCTGAAAGCAATGACATTCATCCTGCATTTTTTTGGGCTTACAGACTAGAGTCTCATCAGCAGCAACAGACAAAAGAATCTAACAACATAATAGGCCCATGACTAAGAAATCAGATTTGTCCTTAGAAATGGGTTTCCAAAAGAGTTTTGTAATCAGTATAATTATAAAAGATATGTTTATCAAGCTAGTCATGGAACTTCTTAACTTCCACCATGAGCTTTTTACCAATGTATTAATACTTCTATGTTGATAGCATTTTTTCCAATAAGGAGATATTCTACTGCCATTTAGTTTTCTGTCACTAAGCATAGTTCTTGCCCAGGGGTAAGAAAAGGGTGGCCAGGGGTAAGAAACCATGGTCCGTGCTCATCAGAATGCATCGGCACAGACACTGAAGCCAGGAACTCCTAGACATTCTGGAAGGTATCCTCATGTTGGCAATCCCCCATATCACAGGACACCCTATAAATAAAAATATGATAGAAATAGAGTTACCCCAGGAAGGTTTTATGTACCTCCTTTGTTTTGAGAGATTTACCATGTGAGTTCATCCCCTTAGTGCTAATGCCTCTGCCTAAATAGTAATACTGGGAATCCCGATTTCTTATCTGTCTGCCCTTTAAAAATAAACTCCAATATCTGATGTGTTTCGATAACACACGAGTTACTAAAATCTTTCCAGAATGACCTCTGTTGCTCTCCTGATCAAAACATGATTGTCACATATTACTATCTGCAGATTCTCAAAAGACAGAGTCTCTGTGAAGCATTTAACATTCATCCATTCAATAATATTTGTTGACCCTATGTGCCAAGAGGTTGCTAAAGGCTGGGGAATCTTCTGCATCTGTCATCAAAAACCTCTGGAGGCAACAGAAATTATTAACCATATGTTATTAACTTATATTGTCACCTTAAGCAAGGGTGATTATTTCCGTATCTCTAGTAGAAAATGTTCCATCAGGATGTCAGGCAACAAAGAAGTGCTGGGTAGGCCTTCCATAGCAGTATTTCGTGACCAAATTTATGAGCTTTACAACATCCTAAATGGTATACGATTACAGAATCTCAAAAGGAATAAAATGCACATTTATTCCTGTCATAAACATTTTGAGGCAACTATTCTGTGCTTTGTAGGGAGTAAAGAGATGAATCTGTACAGTTTACTAGACATGATCCCTTAACTTCTCCACCTGTAAAATGAGGATATTGGTATAGAGTAGGGACTACTCTATACCAATATTAAAAATAGATTCCTGAGACGAATGCCTGACCCAGTCCATGGCAAGTGCTTAGCACAGTCTGGTATGTAGTAAGTGCTCGTTAGATTTATTAAAATACTTCATAATTCACAAAGTATTTTTGTATGTTTTCCCATTTTGCTTCACAACACCCATACAAGGATAAGGACCTATCTCAAGGACAGAGTGGCTTTGTCAGGGCCACATAGTTAAAAATTGGAAGAACCAGTTGTTAAAGTGAATTTTCACAACTCTAATTTTACTCTTTCAAATACCTTGAGTTGAAATACAGAGGCATCTTTTCTAACTCTAAATAAGTTCATGCTTTTACAAACTTAGTTTCTGAGCTATTAATCTTAGAATTAAGAATAAAGACAGCACATTTTACTTGATTGGAGTTGTATCCTTACTACTGAAATAACAGATTAAACCACTAGAAATTCAACCAATTTACTAGTTTTCGGGTTTGTGTATGTGTGTGTACGTGTGTGTATGTATGTGTTTTGGGGGGGGCGGTGAATGTATGTGTTTTGGGGGGGGCGGTGTTTAGCTGCCAATGACAGAAAAAAAAAACAGGGATTTAAACAAGATAGGAATCTCTCTCACAAAATAACAAATTTAGATATAGGCAGTCCAAGCTGGCGTTAGTATTATGTCACTAGATTAGTATTACTATATATAATCAGTTCCACAATTTCAGGAATGTCCCATTTTTCATTATCTTTCCACTGCACTGTTGACATTTATCCTCATGCTTGCAGACTCACGGTTACATGATTGTAGCACCATATCCACACATCATAGTCTAATTTCAGGCAGGACAAAGGTAGCAAAAACCAGACCAATGACCTGAACGATTACAGCCCAGCACTTGTCGCATTTTTGCAATTCCTCTTGGAAACTGTTTTCAGAGACCCTTACAAGCCACATCAAGAAAACATCTTATTTATTCTGAGCTTATCGAGTGCCTCCTCAACAGCACACTCCAGATAGTGTGCTACACGTGTGGATTCAAGGGGTAATTAGACATGGCCCTTCCTTTCTGTGTCATGACCTATTGGGTTAACAAATAACTAAGATGTAATGTAATAGGTGTACAAATTTAAGTATGCATAACATGCTCTGGTAGCAGAAAGAAAGAACAACTGATTCTAATTAGGATTTTAGGAAAAATATTTTTTTATAAAGAATTCAAGTGAATGCTATACTAGGAGTTTCAGAGTTTTGCTTTGATAGATCATTGAAGTATTTTTAAGCAAAAGACTGACAAGAAGTTATGTATTTTGAAAAGGTCATTCCAGTAGCAACTGGAGCATGTAAAACACTGAAGGCAAGACCAGTTGGCAAGCTATGTAAATAATATGGGTCATAGATTTGAGGATCTTGACTAGGTCAATAGCCAAGGGAATCCAGAAAGAACAGATTCAAGAAATGTCTGATTCAAAATCTAAAGCTTGATGATCTTCTATTCTGCAGTCTTAGCTCTACACAATATTGTACAATTTTTAAAAAATCATCCTCTAAAGATAGATTTTCCACACTATTGCAGGTATTCTAAAGAATGAGTTGCAGATTCAAATAGCAGGTCAGTATGTTTTCTGTATAAAAACAAATCAAGAAGCATTTTTTTGAGTGAGTGAGTGTGTGTGTGTGTGTGTGTGTTGGTAGATAGATAGATATGGATGAATGGATGATTTTATAAAGATATGAACCAAGGTCTTAGTAATTATCTGACGTTGGGTAGGATCCAGAGTTTACTTTCACTTTGCTAATCCATATTTTTTCTGTAATGACATCGTTAATATAATAAAGATATTTTAATAGCAATTTTAATAAGCCGCAGTCATTAAACCTGAGGAAGAGTTCTAACAATGTTTTTAACAATGTCGACATGGCTAAATAAGTTTATTTCCCCAAATTTACTACTTTAGGACAACACTTAGTTGAAATGTAAAAATGTTTTCTTTCAAAAACAAATTCACTATATTATAGCTATTCTTTCTATAATTAAGGTATTAGTTATAAACCACTCTTAATAACCTGTGAAAACTTACTTCGTTATTGTTCACTAGATTAGTATTACTGTGTATAATAGAATGTTATATATAATTTAAACCTTCCGTCACCTTGTAATTTGGTCCCTCTTTTTCTTCCATGAAAATAACCAGTCCTCTAACCTTCCCATCCACCTCCCCTCAAACTCCAGTTCCCTATAGGTATAATTAATGAGCCCAGGTTTTCCATCTGGACTTAGGAAGGTGAAATGTTTCTCTTGCTTCACTCTGTTTTTCCTAGGCTAGAGTTTATGCTTGGATGCCATCACTGTTGCACTTCTTGCTGATACTTGGCATAGCTGAGAAGTATCTTCTCTATACCTTTGTACAGAACTCTCTGTCTTTGCTCCACAACCCTTTCTCTCCCATCTGGGCCCCCAGAAGCACGTTGGTGGCAGTTGGAAACGTGTCTCTCAAGCCTACTAGTTCCCTTGGAGCCACCACTCTGCAGCTTTCCAGCAGTCTCCCTTCCCAAACCCCATCCCACAGTGACTGTGCATGAAAGAGGAATGGGGTGGTACACTGAGAGCAATATATTTAATAGGAAATAGAAGAAAGTTCATCAATGAATTACTTATCATTTTTGGTACGTAACTCGCAAGTGATTAATCAGTGGATTTGTTTAGAAATGAATTATATATTCTGATGCAGTAGCAGAAGTTTATATTTCTGACTTGCCTTGTTTTGCCAATATTTAAGCATTTTGTACTAGTCATGTACAGACACTTTTATTTAGTCTCACGCATGAAGAGAAAGCATAAGGCATGTAATTCAAGTGGTTTCTCATCCAAGCATTTCTATCACAAATTACTAAATCTAGTTGAAAATAGGAAAGATGATACTTCCCTCTCTCCCTCGTATTTATTCTATCAACCTAGTTTGGCAGTACAGAATATCTTGAATTGTAGGTAAAACAAAGGCTTCCGTTTATAAAATGTATTTGCTGTACCAAAAGATCAGCATACTGACCTGCTAAAAGTATGAAATAATTGTATGTTCCTTTATAAACGATGAATATTTCAGAGGATTAAGATAGAAAGAAAATCCTGAAAAAGAATGAAGAAAAACAGGAAGGAAGAGAATGTCTGAATACATCATTTCCCTCCAAGGCTAAATAATTAGCACTGAAACGCTGACTGTATGGCACTTACTCCATACCTTTTGCTAATTAACATTTAAATACGTGATGTCAGCAACTATATTAAAACTAGAAAACCTGAAATCAGAATTTATAATTTAGGAGGTAATCTTGAGTATTATTACATTCATTACATTGTTTGCTTCAGATCTGCTTGTTACAAATTTTGGGTTTGAAAAACATGCAACCTTATCCTATGATGCACTGTAACTACTTGGTTATGCTAATAACTGAATTATGTAAAACAACAGATAGTCTAAACATCATACTCGAATTTGTTTCTGATGGGTTTTTTCTTTTTCTTTTTCTTTTTTGGTTCTTATATTTGGATCTAGGTATCCTTGATCTGAAAATTCACTTAGCCTCGAGTGAAATAACAAAGCCATAACCTAAAACTCTGAAGATTTCAATGTCTAGAAAGTCCGTTTTTAATAGGAGATACGGCACATTCCC